GTGCAGTGTACACTGGGTTATCAGGGCACTGTACAGGGATTAACAAGGCTGATAGTCAGCAGGGCAGAGTATGAGAGGTCAGCAGAGGAGTGTAGAAGAGTCAGTAGGACAGTGTGCAGAGAGTCAGTAGTGCAGAATATATGTGTCAGCAGGGGACAGAGATCAGCAGAGCAAATGAAAGGGGTCAGCCAGGTGGCGAGCAAGAGTTATCAGGGTAGAAAACAGGGGTCAGTAGGGCAGTGTACAGGGGGTCAGCAGGGCAAAGGATAGGGGTCACATGGGCTGAGAACAGGGATCAGCAGGTCAGAGGATAAGGATATGCAGGGCAGTGTATAGGGGTCAGCAGGCAGTCAGTATGGTAAAGGAGAGGGGTCACAAGGGCAGAGGAAAGGGATCAGCAGTGCCAAGGACAGGGGTCAGCATTGCAGAGAACAGGAATCAGCAGTGTAGATGACATGAGTCAGTAGTATGGAGGACAGGGGTCAGCAGGATGGAGAACAGGGGTGAGTAGGATCAAGTACAGGAGTCATCAGAATGGAGGACAGGAGTCAACAGGATGGAGGACAGGGGTCACCAGAATGGAGGACAGAGGTCAGCCATGCAGAAGACAGGAGTCAGGAGGATGGAGAACAGGGTCGGCAGGATGGGGGGACAGGGGTCAGGAGATTGGAGGACAGGGGTAAGCAGGATGGGGACAGGGATCAAGAGATTGGAGGACAGGGGTAAGCAGGATGGAGACAGGGGTCAGGAGGTAGATTACAGGGGTCAGCAGGACAGCAGGATGGGGAACACTGGTCAGAGGGTTGGAGGACAGGGGTCAGCAGAGTGGGAGACAGGGGTTAGCAGTGCATGGTACAGGGTGTCAAACGCCTTCTAATTCCTCCTATTAGCCAACATATCCCCAATCCTACCTCCTAGCACAAATCCTCACCATTCCTTTTACTAGAATGAATAGCCCCCCTTCCCCTCTTCTCCATAAACCTCTCACCCCAACCAAAAATGATTGTTAGCCCCTCCATTGTGTTTAAATTAAAATTTCCCTACCTGTAAGTTCCACTCCCTGCTGTCACAACTGCACCTCTCCATTGAGCAGATGTTACAGGATTGCTAAATCAAACTGTACACACACTGTTTGATTACCTGCCCCCTATGTCCTCCCCCCAGCAGGAAATGTGGGTAGAGGGCCATAAATAAACTGCGTACAGTCCGATGTAAGCGTGATCCAGTGACATCTGCTCTAAGGAGGAACAAAGCTGTGACAGAAAGGGGGAGAAATCAGCAAGGCCCGCACATCCCCTTGTCTCTCAACTCTTTTCCGCTGTCACATCTCTACAGATCTTTTAATTTAATGCACTTAGGCTGCCTCTGTGCCTTGTCCTGACCCTGAGCGTGGGGATGGGGAGAGGAGCTCAGTGGGCCAGACTCAATGTCCATGGGGGCCAACCTGGGGGGGCACAACTGAAATATGGAAGTGTACAGCCCACCCCAGCACTCCCCTAGATCTGACTATGATCCCACCCATGACCAGGCCCTCGTGTTCTACCACTAGGGGGGCCCAAGATGGCAAGATGATATCCAGGTTTGGGCGGGTTCGGGGGCAGGGGTGGGCACATGGTGATGTCTGTAGAAAGCAGGAGGGTAGACCAAATAGACAGCTGCACTCCACACACACACCACCTGCTGAGATGAGAATCCTTTGCAATGTCCATAGAGCCACATTCAGGACTGGCCTGGATGGGACATATACCCTTCTGATCTCCATCTCCAGGAGCTTGGCCCCCTGTCAAGCTGATGTTTCAATTTGGTTGATGTTTGCTATATATAGTGGAGTTGGTCTTCAACAATATGGAACCAAAGCTGCAAATATGGGACAAATAATCCTTGTTTTGCAGCATCTGACCACTGAATAGGCAGGTGATATGAAGAGGGGGGATTGGGAGCACCATGAGAAGATAAAAGGATGATGGATTACAACCAAGGTCTGTCAGACTGAACCTGCCCTGCACCCAAGCAATGAAGGAGGTGATGTAATTGTGACAGTTCCAGCATGCAACACAGAGTCTATGGAGGGGGGGGGGGGGTCACTGTGGTCACCACCTCATCATCACCTTTTCATCGAGGTCTGCAGGATTTCATTTACAGTATAAGGAAGAACTCTGTGGACCCTGATGTAAAGTGGAACTCTGATGTAAAGGGCAATTCTGCAGACCCTGAAGCAGGTAGGAACTCTGATGTAAAGGGGAGCCCTGTGGACCCTGATGTAAAGGAGAACTTTTTGGACTCTGACTTAAGGGAGAACTTTGTGGGCTGTGATGTAAATAGAAACTCTGGAGTTTGTTGTAAGGGAGAACTCTGTAGGCTGTGATGTAAAAAGGCAAACTCTGAATGCTACAGACTGTGATATAATTGGGAACTATTTTAAAAGGGGAATGCTGCGGACCGTGATGTAAGGGGGGACGCTGTGGGCCATGATGCAAAAAGGAATGATGTGGACTGTGATGTTAGGGGGAATGCTTCAGACCGTGATGTAAAGGGAACGCTGTGGACAGTGATGTAAAAGGGAATGTTGCGGATCGTGAGACCCGCGTACCCAGATGCACATCAGCATCAACCAGCAGAAGTCTTGCCAGGCACTCTGTGTTCTGAAACTACCTGTTACTTTATGTATTACTGAGCCAGAGCTGTGGGAGAGACCTTCCTCTGCACTTCAAGTTCCACCACCAGGTGTGTTACACCTGCTCTGCTGTTTCTCTTGTTTATGACCTCGGATTGGAACATGGACTATTCTTTGGACTCTTGCCTGCCTTTTGACTACAGATTTGACCCTGACTATTCTAAACCTTGATTGCCTTGTACCTGGACTGTCATCAAACCACTATGCCTGTATGCCAACTACAAGTACCTGTTTGCTCTGCTCAGTTCATGCCTGACCCAGCATGGTAGCCAGTCACTAGAGCATTGTGTATAAGATTTGGGGGCAAACAAGTACCGGTAAGCCTACTTTGTCTTATAGGAAAAGGGGCTGCTATAGGTGAAGAACACAGAAGCCAGCTATAGTGCCTGACCACCTGCGTTAGGGGTAAGCGTGACAATGTCTAAACTATGTTAGCATCCCCTTACAAGATTATAGATGCAATATACACTGTATTTCCAAAAGTATTTGGACACCCCTCCTAAAACATTTGTGAAAGAATGGGTCACTCTCAGGAGCTCAGTGAATTCAAGCATGGTACCGTGATAGGTTGCCACCTGTGCAATACGTCCTTCCATGAAATTTCCTTGCTACTAAATATTCCACGGTCAGCTGTTAGTGGTATTATACCAAGTGGAAGCAATTGGGAACAATAGCAACTCAACCACCAAGTGGTAGGCTGCGGAAAATGACAAAGTGGGGTCAGCGCATGCTGAAGCGCACAGCTTGCAGAAGTTGATAACTGTCTGCAGAGTCAATAGCTAAAGACCTCCAAACTTTGTGTGGCCTTCAGATTAGCACAACAACAGTGCGTAGAAAGCTTCATGGAATAGGTTTCCACCACCAAGCAGTTGCATCCAAACCTTACATCACCAAGTGCAATGCAAAGTGTCAGCTGCAGCAGTGTAAAGCACGCCCCCACTAGACTATAGAGCAGAGGAGATGTTCTCTGGAGTGACGAATCACTTTTCTATGGCAATCCGATGAACGTGTCTGGGTTTGGCGGTTGCCAGAAAAACAGTACTTACCTGACTGCATTGTGCCAAGTGTAAAGTTTGGTGGAGGGAAAATTATGGTGTGGGGTTGTTTTTCAGGGGTTGGGCTTGGCCCCTTAGTTCTATTGAAGGGAACTCTTAAGGTGTCAGCATACCATGACATTTTGGACAATTTCATACTCTCGCCTTTGTGGGAAAAGTTTGTTGATGGCCCCTTCCTGTTCCAACATGATTGCGCACCAGTGCACAAAGCAAGGTCCATAAAGACATGGATGAGCGTGTTTGGGGTGGAGGAACTTGACTGGCCTGCACAGAGTCCTGACCTCAACCCAATAGAACACCTTTGGGATGAATTAGAGCTGAGACTGGAAAGCCAGGCCTTCATGTCCAACATCAGTGCCTGACCTCACAAATGCTCTTCTGGAAGAATGGTCAAACATTCCCATAGACACAAGAATTAGGGCGGAAACTGCTAGCCAGGCCTCCTCATCCAACATCAGCAGGTCCAGACTAGCCATAGGGCTCACTGGGCATTTGCCCTGTGGGCTGGGGCCTCCTCGATAGAGGGGTGGCCAGGCAGCACATAGAGGAACTGAACCGTGCATTTCTCGGTTCCTCTATGTGCCACCTGGCCGCCCATCCTATCCATCTCCTGCATGCCCTGGGCTCCTGTATGCCCCCCCCCACAGCCACCACCCCCCCCATCCCCTGCAGTGCTGCTGCCGCTTTCCCCCCTCCTCCCTGCAGCTGCTGCAGGGGATCTGTCAGCATATTCTCTCCCCAGTTAGGACAATTTCCTGCCCACCAAAGTTGGGAGAGGAAGCTGCTCCTCCCACCCTCTCCTCCTGTGTCTGCCCCGCCCATATCTCTCTCTTTTCTCTCTCTCTCTCTCTTTCCTATAAAAAAATTTACAAAAATAATAAAATTGTAAAAAATGAAATAAAACTAAAAACCTACTGACACTAATGGCGGAACTACCAGGGTCGCAGAGGTTGCTCTTGCGACCGGGCCCTGCCGTTCCACCACTGGGCTCCAAGGAAAGGATCCCCAAGCTTGGGGCTGCTCAGTCCAAAATGCCCGGGCCTATTCTTTGGCCCAGTCCAGGCATGGATATTAGTGCCTAACCTCACAAATGTGCTTCTGGAAGAATACTCAAACATTCCCAACCCTTGTGAACAGCCTTCCCAGAAGAGTTGAAGCTGTTATAGCTTCAAAGTGTGGGCCAACTCAATATTGAACCCTATGGACTAAAACTGGGATGCCATTAAAGCTCATGTGCGTGTAAAGGAAGGTGTCCCAATACTTTTGGCAATATAGTGAATGTATGTATATGTATATATATATATATATATATATATATACTGTATATATATATATACACACAGTGGTACCATGACCTACGAGTGCATTTAGGTACGAGTTTTCCGAGGTACGAGTAGTCATTTGGTCGATTTTTTTTGCTTTGTTACCCGAGCAGAAAATTGAGGTATGAGCTGGAGACAGCGCTGCTAGATGGCGTAGTGAGCAGTGATGCCACAGCATCCCAGCCTTCGAGAAACGCCGAGACGCGCCTCCAACATGCGCTCTCAGTCTTCTCATGGTCTCTTCACGTGTTTATGGTTTCTTCACGTGTTTACCTCAAACCAGAGGGTGAGTGTTTTCTGCTTTTTTGGAACAGGTGCAAAGTTCCATTTTATACCAGTTTATACCAACTTATACCAAACTTCAGAGGGTGAGTTTGTTCTGCTTTTCTGGAACAGGTGCAGAGTTCTCATGGTCTCTTCACGTGTTTATGGTCTCTTCACGTGTTTACCTCAAACCAGAAGGTGAGTGTTTTCTGCTTTTCTGGAAGAGGTGCAGAGATCCATTTTATACCAGTTTATACCAATTTATACCAAACTTTCTGGTGCCATGTCTCCCAAGAAAGTAAGTGCTAGTGACAATGCTGACAAGAGGAGGATGATGTCCATTGAGTTAAAGCGTGACATTTTTGAGAAATATGACCAAGGTATGCGAGTAAAGGACTTGGCCAGGCAGTATGTATGTTCAACATCTACGATCTGCACGATTTTGAAGCAGAAGGAGTTGCTTAAAGTTATATCGCCAGCCAAAGGTGTAAAAATAATTTCTAAGCTCCGGATGTATGCCCATGAAAAGATGGAGAGTCTGCTGTTGGTGTGGCTGACGGAGAAGAAGCTTGCAGGAGATACTGTAACAGAGGCTATAATCTGTGGGAAGGCATGAGCCATTTATGTGGATATGGTGCAGCAAACCCCAGGCACTTCAGCAACTGAGGATTCCTTTAAAGCTAGTCAGGGCTGGTTTGACAATTTCCGGAAAAGGACCGGAATTCACTCCGTTTTTGGGCATGGTGAGGCAGGAAGTGCTGATGTCAAGGCAGCAGAGGATTTCATCAAAACTTTCACTCAATTTATCGAGGCTGAAGAATACATACCCCAGCAAGTCTTCAACTGTGACGAGACACGGCTATTTTGGAAGAAGATGCCGAGGAGGACATACATAACGGAAGAGGAGAAGAAGATGCCAGGCCACAAACCTATGAAGGATAGGTTGACCCTCGCCCTGTGTGCCAATGCGAGTGGCGACTGCAGGATAAAGCCACTGCTCGTATACCATTCCAAAAGCCCCAGAACCTTTAAAGCACACAAGATCATAAAGGAGACACTGCAGGTTATGTGGCGGGCAAACCCTAAGGTGTGGGTCACCAGGCAGTTCTTTGTTGAGTGGGTAAACTTTCTGTTTGGTCCTTCGGTGAAGAAATATTTTCAAGAAAACAACCTGACCCTGCAAGCCCTTCTCATCCTCGACAATGCTCCTGCTCATCCACCGCACATCAAGGATGAAATACTCAATGAGTATAATTTTCTTCCTCTGAACACCACCTCTATCCTGCAGCCAATGGACCAGCAGGTAATATCCAATTTGAAGAAGCTCTATACCAAGCACCTGTTCCGCCGTTACTTTGAGGTGACGGAGAGTATGAACCTCACCCTTCAAGAATTTTGGAAGGACCATTTTAATATCATGGTAGGCCTCAAAATCATCGATATTGCCTGGCAGAGGGTTACAAAAAGGACCTTGACCTCTGCATGGAAGAAGCTGTGGCCTGAAGAAGGCTGAAAGGGACTCTGAAGGTTTCGAACCTGAACCCGAAGAGCCAGTGGAGGAAGAGATTGTGTCCATTGGAAAGACTATAGGTCTGGAGGTGGATGAAAGAGACATTGTTGAGCTTGTGAAGGAGCACTACGAAGAACTGACGACTGAGGAGTTAAAGGAGCTATAAGAGCAGCGGCATACAGAGGCGTTAAGTGAAGTTAGTTCCAAGGTAGAGGAGACAGAAGCGGAGGTCATCAATACAAAAGAGCTCAAGAAAATTTTGGCAATGTGGGAGAAGGTAGCAGATTATGTAGAAAAGAAACATCCTGAAAAAGTTGCAACTAGTAGTGCACGATTGTGCTCTTTGGCATTTTTGGCTCCATTTTCAAATCATGTGAAGCTATAAATAGTAGGTTTCAAGACGTCAGGCTGCATACAGGCATACCCATTTTGACAACGAACGTTGTGTTCAAAACGCGTTAAGGAGGAGCCCTTTTGTCAGCCGTTGACGTCAAGCTGTCGGATCACGGGGATCCGACGGCCACCACATTGTTCCAGCTGGTCAGTTTCATGCACATTTATGTGATTTATATTGCGACATCTGTCATCTCATATTGCAGTGCTGTATGTTCTTCTATATCATATTTTAAGCACCAATAATAAAGCATCTTTTAAAATACTACACTATGGGATATTCCTAATGTTTGCTCTGTATCGAGCACTTTAAATCCCTCAGTACCATCTTCAGTGAATGTACCATCTTCAGTGAATATCCTAGCACCCCGGAAAAGCTTGATTATTGGCACTGGCTATCAACTCCCAGTACCATTGGGAAGATCATCCAATCCCCGGCTACACACCTGATTACACCCGAAGGACCAGGGCATGTTCAGGAGCTTATGATACAACGCGCTTTTCATTAGCGCTTCTGGTGAGTGCGCATTCTATATGTTTATCTACACACTCATTCAAGTGGAATCAGTATTCTGGGACTATATAGAAGTTTTTTGAAAATTGCATCAGTTTTAAGAAGTTTAAATAATTTTGGACATTTTATATCAACATACTTGGCATGACTATATGTTTCTTATAGATATTTGCATTTTATTTAATTTTTATTTTATATGCTCATTTTCTGAGTAATATTCCTCAGTACTATTTGTGGCACAAAACGCATTTATCATATACATGCGTTTGGTAGACGATATTAATCATTCATTTAGCGCTGCACTATTTTATATTGATTCATTTGAGGGCATTTTTGGTGTACCCTTTAGTGTGTTCAGCTGCTTATTACCGATACCAATATCAGCGCTCGCTCCACTATCCATACAGTCGTGCAACAGTGCTATTTAATGACACTTGCCTAACTCGTTTCCGAAACATTCTGAAAGGGAGAATAAAACAGACCTCCTTGGACAGGTTTATTAAGAAAAGGCCTTTAGTTGAAAGTGAGGAAAGTGTGATGAAAGAGCCAAGAACTAATGAAAGAACCAGTGAAAGAACCAGTGAAAGAACCAATGAAAGAACCAGTGAAAGAACCAGTGAAAGCGAAGACAGTGACGAAAATTAAGATAAGAAATTAAGATAAGAAAACAAGGTAAGTAAACTGTATGAAACCTTATAAAACCTTATTATATCTTTACATACTCTTTCTATTATGTTTCTATACAATATATGTTATTTAGAAATGCATTTTGAGGGTTGGAACGGATTAAGAGCATTTTAATTATTTAAATGGGGAAAATTGATTTGATATGCGAGCAAATTGAGCTACGAGCTCGGCCACGGAACAAATTAAACTCATAGGTCAAGGTATCACTGTATATGTATATATATAAAATGTAAAACATATGGTTAAAATATCTGGTACACCTTGTACAGCACAGTCTCACTTCATTGCTAATGACCTCTGGAGCTGTTTCAGAGGTGCTCAATTTCTCACAGTTCTGTAATAATTGTCTCAAATCTAAAAAATAACACCCAAATTGCTGTATGACAAAATGGTAAATTGTGTGCTATTTGTAATAGAGTTTTGCCCATATCCATTGAGGTTTATGAATGTATGAGGCCTCTTTCACACATAAATACCCTACTTCAGAGTGATGATCAATGTTCTACTTTCCATGCCATTCACTATAAATTATCCCCTTATTCTAAACTGGCCATTCTGATCCTGCCAATATTTTCTTTTCTTTCTTAGCTCTTCAGAATGGCAGGCACAGAACTGACAAATGTCCGGCTGTCATGTCTATACCTTGGAAAATATAAATGCACAGATATAGCACATTACAAACGACCTGCTCTTTGTGATAGGTTACATAACAGCATCTTGAAGCACATATATCTCAGCTTCAGGCACTTAGAAAAGTAAGTAATTTCAGGCTCCTCTCCAATTCTTGGGCTACAATGGTTCACTATAATTTGTGGTGAGGCTTGATTGTCAATGATGATGAACATGTGTAACACACATAGAACAAATATTGCCGGGGGGCATGGGCTTATTTCTTCCTCCCGCAGGGACTGACTGTATTGACTTATAAACTTCTACAGTGCAGATGCTCAGTTTGCAGACCATTCACTTTATTTTCTGTACTAATATGTCTTAGGTTATTGCTTTCGTGAACCCTCCAGAGTTCCTTAAATCATGTGGAAAGATATATTTTTCATAGGCACTTTTTATTTTTTTTTTCCCTAAAGTATCAATTTTCTTCAAACAGGAGTCCACACAAGGGTAAGAAATCACACTGATACTGTAGAGTAGCCAGCAAGGAAAACAAGGCTAGCATTGCTGAAATTGCAACCTGCCTGGCTGCCTTTGAACTCAATACTATCCAAGTCACTGATCAGGAAGCATACACAGGTAGTAAACACAATAAAGTGTTTATAGTGTATAGATTTTTGTTTGTTTATTTGTTTTGGGTAGCATATGTAAGGATTAGAACCCCTGCCATGGCTTTATTGCTGAACAACTAATAAATAGGCACTAGCCCTTTACATTAAAAAGCATGTGCAAATCCACATAATGACAAAAACTGTTTACAGTGAAAAATTAGCCCACAGTGTAATAAATAAATTAAAAACTCTGAAAAATATATATGTGGTGGAATTTACTGAAGAGTCCAAACAATAAATAGCAAAAAGTCCCCAACCACCGTATTCTTGTGAAATAAAGATAAAGTGACCAAATCTTTTAAAATCAACAGTTCTCCGCCAGTGTGTTCAGATAAACTGCTTGCTCCCCAAATCCCGGTGGCCG